CTCAACCTATTTCCAAACCATACCTCAATGATAGTCTCACCCAGTATTTGCCTTTTTAGGATTGATTTTTCTCTTTAAGGAGCAATTTACGTTTCTGCCAGTACTCATGAATATCAATCGTTATAAAATTAATATCATATTGTTGTGATTATTTCACTTCATTTCATGATGAAGCACAAGTGACAAAACCGAGGCAACTGAGAAAAACCGTAAAAACTCACGTTAACGTTTTTTTGTTGAGAATGACATTTGCTTCAGTTTAATTCACGTTTAATTTCAGATTTCGCTTCACCAATCAGAATACGAAACGTAGAAAGCAAAACGTAAAAAGTTTGGTTGTGAACCCCGCTTAAGGAGTTCCTATGACGAAATCAAGTACAAGGCATATTTAATATTTATCTTTCAGTAAGACCTAGGAATAAATCACATAAAGCTGATTTGATTAACACACCATCTCTTTTATATCTTAAGAATGCAAAATGGGTTACCGTCATCCTTCTAAATATTCAATTATGCGAATTGACTAACAGGCAAAACATAATTATGTATGTCATGTTAGATGGATTAACCAACAAAATAGTAGAAATGATGAGAACTTAAATAACGAATGGTAGTTTATTTAATATTGGAGGTGAAATTATTTCACTATAGTATCATCCACTTTTTGAATTATAGTTACCGATTTTACGGTGACTAGAGCGCCAGCTAACAGAGTGCTATGAAAAGTTAGACACATCCATGCAGAAAAAAAAGGCTTCTCAGTCATGTTTATATAGCTCATTTTCTTTTGGGGTGGCGCTTCAGATCTTTCACCTTTCCAGTGACGATGCAACAGTACCGTACATTTTAATCTATGACAGTACTGTTCTCTGTGTTAGTGTGTTAATATTCAACTGATTCTAGATTTGAAACAATTCTTATCATGAAAAACTTCGAATTGAACGAAGGTAACATTAGTTAGAAGAGTCGCATGCTCATGTTCACAGATATCATTTATTGTCTCTTATATATTCCCAGCGAGCACAAAAACATCTCAGAGATGTTAAAAGTACGAGATTTCGAGACATTGAACCTCCACTGCGATGTTCTGTTCACACATGAATAGAACTATTATAGAACAGCCATTGTCCTCCGCAGGCGGCAATTATCGAGATGTCCTTGATATGTCACAAAACTACCTTCTCCCTAGTTCTTTTTAAAGCCTTTTCATGGACACAACAGAACATTTTCAACGCATCTTATGCGCACATTAAATCGCTGTAAAAAAAACATTTTCGAGGTACTTTTCTGAAGCCTTTTGTCAAAATGAACTTTTGCATTAGGATTCCATTTCCCTTGAATGAAAAAATGCATTAAAAATAGATTAAATATAAAAATATTTTCTTGATACACAGACATATAATTGGAAATAGTTTACACAATTTTTGAAATGTTCTCCACAATGCATAATTTTGCAACTGCGGAGAAGCTGTGTATATTGATGAATTCGTACTTTCATATATTGATTACACTGAGGCACCGAACAACACATCTTGCATCTGATAGTCATTATTACAAAATAAATACAATAAACTTCACCAAATTCCTTTCTGTTCGTTAGCAGCGTGATGTAAGCGTGACACGCTGCAAACGCGAATGCCAATTGCGAACAAGAAGAACAAAATCGAAAACATATCAGAATTCATCGTATTGTGACGTAAGCATGAGTCGTTGTGGTGGGGCAAACAAAGAAAGGGCACAAAAGAACAAAAACAAATAAAACAATACTTTCAATATCCTTCTAAGACCTATTTGGGAAAAGTGCATATTACGCCTCAAAAAAACATCCTCATGCCTACATTTCTAAAACATCCCAAAACATCTCAGGGATACCTCTCAGTAGGCAAACAAAGAAATGCCACCGAAGAACAAAAACAATACTTCAATATCCTTAAAAGACCTCTTTGGTCAGTGCATATTACGTCTCAAAATAACATCTTCATGCCAACATTTTCAAAACATCCCAAAACATCCCAGGGATGTTTGTGCTCGCTGGGTTTAATATACGTAAAGCCAGTTGTTCTCAATGCACGAGAATGTGCTATTATTGTGTTTCATCGTTGCAAAAATCACTATCCATAAATACTGAATTCTGTCCTACATAAATCACAACTCCGATTACATCTCAATATATCGATCTAAATGATCTTTGGGTTGCCTACTGTATTCATATCTTTATATCTTCTCAAGTTACCTGATGAAATTAGCGATATGATGAGTTGGGGTCTCATGTTGTCAGAGATCACTAGATAAACCGTCATTGTAATCATTCTTTATACTACTGATATCTTCACAATCAGCTCTGCTGGAGGTATGTTTGAATAGACGAAAACAAATATTTCTTCATATTGTATGTGAGTTTTTCTTTTTCGACATGTATTCAGTATTTTGACAACTTTTGTCCAAATAACCAGTAGGTATATTTAACGTTGTTCTATATCATTTCATACATTAGTCAATTTGAAAAATATCATCAGTATAGATACCTATAATCTATCTCTTGCTGTCAATGCGATGGAGGCCCTCCATTCATCTTTCACTAGTTTTATTATTTCACCATCAGCCTTGTAACCAATATTATAACTTATTCGTTTCATGGCATGAAATGGTTTTTATCTACCAATACGTTTATACGTTTATATAAAATAATTCATTGAATTATAGCCGTTATCAATCTTCAAGTAGTAAAGCCATCAAGAGTATACAATTTTTATATCGTTTCACTGAAAATATATCATTTCCATATTTTCTCTAAGTAGAGGAAAACGCAAACGTTCAATAAGTTTGAAAATTTTCAAAATAGTAGAATTTTTTTTACGGCAACTTTAGAAAACTGAAAAAAAAACTTGACTTTCTACCTTTCGTATCCCCGTTACTGATCCAGATTGGACTCGTGATTTCAATTTTAGTGAGTACATTTCATTGCATTTTCAACGAATTTTGTCAAAGAATAAAATGTTCAAGCGAAACATAGGCAAAATTAACATGTTCTAGAACGTATATGCTTATTTATCCCAAAAACAGTTCGTTCCTCGAAAAAAATTGAGGTGCAAAGATGCCAGAGGCGTACTACGAAAAAGTTTGGAGGGAATAAAGAAGCCTCTACCTCCAAAAACGTATCACCCTGTAGATTTTGAGAATCTTCAAAATGCTTGAAATGATAATTCACTAGAAAGTGTTGACCATACCAAATTTCAAAATGATATCTTGAAAAGTAAGCGAGATATTTCAATTAATAGAAAAAATAATTAAACTTTGACCCCCTGTAGCTCCGCTACTGAATGAGATCGGACTAATGTTTATATGAACTTTCTTGATTAAAATGATGAGATCTATCTCCCATTTGAGTTTGTGCCTTGAAACCTGAATCACCCTGTATATTTGAAAACAGAATTAGTATCAATATAGCAATAAATTACCCAAAACAACAATGATCCTTAGAAAAAACGTTGTATTGCAGTCAAGCACCCATTCGTTTCAAAAGGCTTCCTTAATTTTTCTCTGACTGTTGGTTTTTTTATAAAAAGAGTAAGTAGTGAAGAACTGGGATATTTCCACAAAATTTTCGATGAGTTCACGTTCAATAGTACGGAATTAAGAAAGAAATCTATATTTCTCTGAGTGAAGTGAAACATTCAAGGCAACAGTTCAAATGAATATGGAACAATACTTGGACCATCAGATGAAACATCAGCCATGAGTATTCTTGACTGGAGATGGAACCATTTGACAATATCATAGGTTATTGTTAGGTAGTCTCTTACAATAGTAACTTCTGGAATAAAAAACCTGAGAACGTTTGATAAAATACAATATATATTTGAAAACAGAATTAGTATCAATATAGCAATAAATTAATCAAAACAACAAGGATCCTTATTGAAAACTTTGTATTGCAGCCTAGCACCCATTCGTTTCGAAAGGCTTGATGGAGTTGAGCGTCTTCGCAACATGCCTCAGTGTGCTCTGAGGCACTGCCCCCAGCAAACACCTCTGAAATAGCTAAAACTTAATCAGATAAGAAAAAATAACCTTCCCGTAATTCCTCGCCTCTAAACTCCCGTCAACCAGAGCATTAGCTCCAGCCAGGAAAAGTCTATTCCTGAATTCCTTCTGCAGATGTGAAATCTTCCCTGGGCCAGAACTCTTCACCAGGTCTGCCAAAAGGCAGGCATGTCGGTTCCAAGATCGGATTCCAATTATGTTTTATTTGGTTTTTTGAAATTTCCAAGAGCAGAATTACTATCAATAAAGCAATAAATTGATCAAAACAACAATGATCCTTAGTGAAAACTTTGTATCGCAGCCAAGCACCCATTCGTTTTGATAGGCTTGATGAAGTTGAGAGTCTTCGCAACATTCTTCAGTGTGCTCTGAAGAACTGCCTCTAGCAAACACCTCTAAGAACACATAACCTTCCCATAGTTCCTCGTCTCCCATCAACTAGAGCCTCAGGTTCAGCCAGGAAAATTCCATTCCTGCATTCTTTCAGCAGATGTAAAATCTTCTCTGGACCAGAACTCTTCACCAGGTCTGCCAAAAGGCAGGCATGTCGGTTCCAAGATCAGATTTGAATTATGTTCTATTTGGTTTCTTGGAATTTCCAAAAGCATGGAGATTGGAAACCATGGAAGATCGTTTCTATAACAGCTTCCTCAAGTTTTTTCTGACTGTTGGTTTTTTGTAGAAAGAGTTAGTAGTGAAGAATTGGGATATCTTCACAAAATTTTCGATGAGTTTACGTTCAATAGTACGGAATTAAGAAAGGAATCTATATTTTTCTGAGTAAAGTGAAACATTCAAGGCAACAGTTCAAATGAATATGGAACAAGACTTGGACCATCAGAAGAATCATCAGCCATGAGTTTTCTTGACTAGAGATGGAACCATTTGAGAATTTTATAGGATATTGTTAGGTAGTGGCCTGTTACAATAGTAACTTCCGAATTGAAAAACCTGAAAACGTTTGATAAAATACAATATATATTTGAAAACAGAATTAGTATCAATATAGCAATAAATTAATCAAAACAACAAGGATCCTTATCAAAAACTTTGTATTGCAGCCTAGCACCCATTCGTTTCGAAAGGCTTGATGGAGTTGAGCGTCTTCGCAACATGCCTCAGTGTGCTCTGAGGCACTGCCTCCAGCAAACACCTCTGGAATTGCTGACACCCAATCAGATAAGAAAACATAACCTTCCCGTAATTCCTCGCCTCCAAACTCCCGTCAACCAGAGCCTTAGCTCCAGCCAGGAAAATCTTATCCCTGCACTCTTTCTGCAGATGGAAAATCCTCTCTGGGCCAGATCTCTTCACCAGGTCTGCCAAAAGTCGGATGCCCGTGGATCTAACCACGCTGTTCTGGTGGTTGCACCCTCTGGCGGTCAGAACAGAGATGACTCGACCTTGAGGGAGTTGCAGACACATAAGGTCTAGGGCTGCGTTGGCGTCTGCTCTCAGGAATTTGTTGGTATCGGCCGTGCGGTGTAAGAGAGGTCCAGCGATTTCTTCTAGTTCCTGGAAATTCATGGTTGATACATGAAGGAAAGTATTAAAGGTTGTGGTAAGATACGGTGTGACCAACATGAGGTTGCACAGCATGGGGATCTCGTAAACAGGAGGTTATCCCAATGCCCAGGACAAGGATACCTTCGAGCCCAAAAGGATCCTGCTGAAATTCCCATGACGATTGAACGATGCCATGCCCAATCCTCATTCTCTACCCCCGCGAGCTGCCAGGAGTCCCACCGATAAGAGTCTGATTAAAATGCTTCAGTTGACTAGCCAGTGCCGGACTAAGTAATAGTGTGAGTGTGCATTGTGAACACCAAACTTGGAATGTTTGTGAATACAATTCTTTCGGAACTTTTTGTACATGTAAATGAATATCAAATGTTCACCTCAATAATTCAGGTACTAAGTAGTAATTTCGAAAGGGTCCAGTTTTCTCGGAGAGGGGGATCATGTCACGAGTAGAACATACGGTATATTAGTAATTTCGGACCATGAGGGTTTTATAAACATAGAATTAATCAGATCATCGTTGATATTGAACTATTGAAACTGGCCAAGGAACTCTCATTAGAAACGTGCAAGTCTAATAATATGATGTATGTAAATATTGGATGTGAGGGTTCCGAAGATAGTCTGGTCTGGGGCTACTCTTGACTTGACAAGAACTCGACGTAATGGTCATTATAAATTAAGTTGTTATTAGAGGTCTTTATGTTTATTGTTATGTTTGAATATAGTCTCGTACTTTCAGTTTCCCCTAAAAATTAGTGCCTATTTGAATATTACCTCTCGCAAGCCAAGCAAACCCCTTATAAATGGATCTATTTATCTCGTGACAATACCAACGGCCTTCCTTCGAAAATTTTCAAAATCGTTTATAGTTTTTCAGTTACATGGAAATCTATTTTTTTTCTACTTTATGATCAGAGATACAGAAAAACAAAGAGTGTTTTTCCAAAGCATCTTTCGATGAGATGCAACGTGGTGATATTGATTTCTCTACGCGCCGTTCCGTTTTCGTAGAACCATCATCAACACTTTTTTAAAATATGGTCCTGATTATGTTTTCACAGATTCTGATATCTTTCTTCATTTGAAAGTGGTGTGAATGTGTTTCAGCCATCTTCGATGTATTTTCGAAATTCCAAATAGGAATCAGTCTCACTTATTTCTGATCATTCAGTGTCAAAAATTGATGGAGTAGTTATTCAATAGTGACACGTGAAAAAGAAATATTTCATGAATTATTAAATGCACCGCTTCAAATTGTTTCATGTTGATGGATTCTCACAAGAAAAACCTTGATAACTGAACTTATTCCACAGTCCCTTGGCCGACACGATCACCTGATTGGACATCTGCTGAATTTTTCTCTTTGGGATACATTAAGAACTTTGTTTTCACAAATGCTTTTGATCACGAAGGAGAATTAAGCGTATAAATAATTATTTCTTAGAAAATAATGGTTATAATTTTGACCATTTGTTATGAATGTATTTTTTTTTCAATTACTCTTCGTGTTGTCAAAGTATAGTTATCATTTTATCAAGGTAAATCGTTCAAGAATCCAATAACATGAGGAGAAGTTTGAAGCGCGGCATTGAATAATTCAGTGGAATATTTTGTCTTCAACAAGAAGATACTCAGTCGTCTCCACAAGTTTAATGACGAAATGTGCAGTCAATGCTGCTTCATCACTTTTGAGGCATGTTTCGTCCATTCAAATGGTCATCATCAGTCATAGTACTGATAAATTTGATGTGAAGATGGCTATATCATCAAGAAGATGAAGACATTATTCATTGAAATGATATTGTTCCTAGATGCCGATGTGTCCGAAGTTTTGGAGTGATTGGCACAGCCTTTTCTTCAAAAAAACACTCCTCAAAAATATATATTTTCAAATTTCACTCTTCATGATATAGCCATTTCCACATCAACTTTATTGGTACTATGACTGATGATGACCATTTGAATGGCCAAAACATGTCTCAAAAGTAATGATGGTATTTCTTTTTTGTAATTTCGAAAAAACATTGTTGATGGCTGAAACTAGGTCGAAACACATACAAACCACCATGTATCATACATGGTTGAATTCAGAATAAAAATGATTCCAGAATTTTGAATTTAAAAAGAATTTTGATGATGGTTCTACGGATACCAAAAGTCGCTTTGAGTAATTAATATCACCACGTTAAATCACATCAATAGTTGCTATGTAAGAGTATTTTCAGTTTTCAGTTTATCTCTGATAGTAACAAAAAAAATGAAATAGATTTTCCGAAAATTCACTTCTTGGGATATAACATCAAAAACGATGAACAATTCTGGACATTTTCGAAGGAACTTCGTAACTATATAATTCTCGGAATGCGCAACTTTGTTCCTATTCAACCAAATTCGTATCTCCTCCCGAGATCCCCACGCTATGCAACCTTATCTAGATGACACTGTATAATTGAATATACTGTAATGATATTCCCCTTAGAAGGGCTTTAGAAGCATCAGCAGGAAGGCAGGAGTACAACGATCATCCTGTATCACGCATCCCCGATTGCTATCCAACCTCTCAATGATTCCTACATACACCAGCATATTTCCGAACACTCAATATATGCCGCAGTGACAAATAACGTCACAGAAGATTCTGGAATGTTCTGGAAACAATCGATGGAACAATTAGAGAGAGAGGTTTTGTTCTAAGAAGCTTCTAGAACAAAAAGGAGGAGACGGAAGATCATTCGAGAACGTTCTCGAGCCATAGCCTGCCATGTGTTCTCATATATAAGACGCCTGAACAACTGAGGCCTGAGGCAGTCAGTTAAGCAGCGAGTGTCAGAGAGACAGTTATATACCGCGTGATATAAATCGTTTTACATAAATAGTAGTTATAAGTTCGATATAAATTAGTGTTTCTTTAGTTTGAATAAATCAGTTCGAAAATAAATAGTGTCGTGTTCGCTTCTGCACCCGAATAACGTAACAATACTATATGTCCCAATACTCACCATTTCCAGCCCTTTTCGACAAGCTCCGAACATCTCAGTCGCCGTATAACAAGCCGCTCTGGCCACCTGCGATCGCAAATTCTTGATGTGCCTGCCCAAATTAACGCAAACGTTGTGCATCCTAGCCTCCACAGCCTCCGGATGCTGCCTCGCTATCCTCGCTACCCCTTGCAGCCCGCGAATCATCACCTAAACCAATAATAGTCAATAATGTCACAAGTATTATGAACCTAAATACTGTCTGTTGGTAAATCTATAAAATATCTCTCTATAAAATAAAATTAGGAATACTATTTCAATATACGTGTACTTAGTGAGGTCAGTGACAATTTGTAATGAGAAAATATCAAATTTTCACATATCTTTGGACGTTTCGGGAACGAATAATCTGCTCCCGTTTTCAACATTGAGTTTTTGTATGGCAAATTCGTATTTGTCTTGACACTACTCAGTTCTCAGTGACAAATCGAAACTAGCTGAACATATCCTTACTGAAGATGGGCAACATATGACAGAGTGGAATAATATTGAAATCATTGGAAAAGAAGATGACAACCAGAAGAGAAAAATCAAGAAATCTGCTTGCATTCTTCTGAACGGAGACAACAGCATTGCTACCTGTTCATTTGATATAGTTAGAACATGGTATTCACTAAATAAATCTGAAAATGAAAATTGTAAATTCAAGATAAATTAATGAAAACATTCTATAACTCATTTGATTACCAACGTCACCAATTGTCACTGAGAATTGAGAAGTGTCAAGACAAATACGAATTTGCCATACAAAAAATCTATTCTTTATGTTGAAAACGGGAGCAGATTCGTTTACGAATCATCCAAAAATAAGTGAAAATTTGATATTTTTTCTATATACCTTTATATCTCTTCTCCGAACCTTCTTCAATACAAATTATCACTGACAAGCTAGTGAATTTTTCTATCAGGCTTTCTGATAGGAGAATCCTTTAAACGCAGTGACATATTTTGGGGCAAAATCATCTTACTTGTCCTCACTACACGTATATTGAAATAGTATTCATATTTTTATTTCATAGAGACGAGAGAGAAAATCCCAAAAACTCTGGAATAATGAATAGTATGAACTTCCTTTTGGTAATAAGTATTTTAAGCGCATCACAGCGCAGCGAGTGTCTTGAAGAGGCTATAAACACGTTACATAGGTAGTATACTTTTTCTACGATCTCTTCCTGACTTCGACAATCTCCCATAATTCCAAACATAATAGCCTAACCTGTGGCCTAACCCACCTGCTGACCTGAACAAATAATTCGGAGGGAATGAGAATTGAGAACACGATACTAAATAGTATTCAACTTTATGCAACCAACGAGACATGTAAGTGATATAGATTGTGGATGTGTCCAGTTCGCTGGATACACGGATTTCTATATCAAAATATCAAAATGGCTTGCTTACTCACCTTTGTGAATAGCAAGGAGGAGAAGATAAAAACTCTTCGATTTGCTGAGGTGTTACAGTTTTTGATTTCTCAGTATTATGATATATCCATATTCTGATGTGCGTATCAAAAATGCAGACAACTTTACATACATATTTGCTTACATTTATAAGCGTTGTATTTCAAGTTCATGTAATGAATTGCCCTCAAAGATGAGCGCTTCATTTTTACAGAGAGTTCTTAGAAATATATATGCAAGTAAATCATTCTCTTCGATTTCACTATCACTTTCGTCTGCACAATTTTCACTTGTAATACCACTAGAGTTCAAATTATTTCCTGAAATATTTTCAAGCTCATGTATATTTTGAAAATTTCTCCGAGTCGAAGACGAAGAAAATGTCACACCAGATTGTGTTTGAAAATTAGATAATTTTAGAATTTATTTGTTCATTTGATTTGCACACAGGTTCATGGATGCATTTAGTTTGGGTCGCAGTTTCGGCACCAGTAATAGATTCCTGATTTCTACCTATTATATTTGCAGGAAAATACTAGTTTGAAATGTAACATATTATATTTTCCATTTTACATCAACTTCGGGATACTACAAGTGATGAGAAATAATAATTTTGTCAATTGATTTTTCATAGGTATAGGTACATACTAGTGGCAGTAGAGGAAGGGGAGGCGGTCGCCTAGCAAGTAGGCCCCAGTGAGCCTTTTCTGCTAACCCCTGCTGCACACGTCATATGTGCACATCATATCTACTATTCCTTCTCCTAATTCTCCTTTTCGAACCTCCGTGGATTTCTGATGAAGGTCAGTATGTCCGTCCACCTTAGTAATTTGATCTTCCTGTTAAAGCGTATCAGTACCAGAGATTTCGAATTTTAACCTTCCATAACGCCTTACACTGGTCCAGGTAGTGTTATGACATTCTATATAATAGATGCAGTTATTAAGGCATCAATGGATTCGTAGCCTAATAATTGTTGATTTCTACCGAATTGAAGTGGCACAAAATCACTATTTTAGGATGTCAAAATATTATTGTGTCATTAAAATTCCGATTTCATACGCTGCTGTGTACCCACGATAAAAACATTTCCACTAAAATACATATTATGGTAATTTGTCATAAAAACTCAATTCAATTGATTCATAAACAAGACACACAAAGTCATTTCCACAAATTTATTGACTGAATAATCAATATCTGTACATGTTTCGGACTATCAATAGTCCATCATCAGCAGCATATTTTAATTGAAAATTTTCTACAAAGAAAGGTTTTTTATATAGTTACAAATGTTATGCTTAGGTTATGTATACTCACGTGGAAATGAAAGAAGGAGAAGTTAATAAAATTATTGCATGATGCAATTTAAATTACAATAATGATAATGATAAAAATGAAGGGCAAATGGTCCAAGGCCCAAAGGGGCTTTATGGGGGATCCCAACAATTGTTCATCAAAGTGATCAGAGATGAAATGGGGCCGATCATGAGAATATTGGTTACCGTGACGTGGTAGAGCGGTGAAGGGGGGCCCTGCTTCTTCTCGCATCTTGCCTTACATTATTTGTTTATGCCACAGGACAGTTTTGTGTCACTTGTCATTGGATACATACTTCACGTTTCCTATGTCAAGCTAACCCACCCCCATGATGGACTATTGATAGTCCGAAACATGTACGGATACTGATTATTCAGTCAATAAATTTGTGGAGATGACTTTGTGTGTCTTGTTTATGAATCTATTCACTCCACTTTGAGATACCATGGACTTTTATACCATAGATCAATTCAATTGTATAAAAATCACTGGTGTGGCATTTTCAATGAGAAATTCATACACAAATTGAAATTGTTTGAATATAATTCCGATTGTCACCGATTGCTACGAAATTCGAAAATGACAGTTGACAGGTCCTAATTGACAGGCAGGGGACTCAAACGACTGAAATCGTGTTCGAAAAACTGTGTTGTCATGTTCATGTGTTAAAGAAACTGTATAAACTATCGATAGTTTGCCACCTCTACTAACCTCCCATTCGGGGTCGTTCATTTGCGTCAAGGCCATCTGAAGGTCCTCCTTGGGCTCGCTTCGCGCAGTTGTAGGGGTGGGGGTGGGTGCTCTGACGCTTCTAGGAGTGGATTTTATGGATTTTCTGCTGGACGTTCTCGCAAGTCGCTTGGACAGTTTGCGAGTCGTGGGTTCTTCGGGAAGCTTGGGAGGTTGTAGTTCTTCATAATCGGATTTTGGTTCTGAGGATTTCGTTGATATCTACAATAATAATACACAAATACAATGAATGGTTGTTGAAAAAACTGAAGAAACACGCTTTTAGAGATATCCAAACTAAAAAGAGGTAGAAAATAAAATAATTAAAGTGTGTTGATAAATACACAACATAGAAAATATTAGCACCTTCGTAATTAGTAGATATATATTGTATGCATGTTGGGTATTTATCAATAAACTTTCATCATTTGGTTTCCTACTTCTTTTTAGTTTGGATATCTATAAAAGCGTGTTACTTTTTTCAAAACTACTATCCATCTTCTATTTTTCAACTACAATAGCGTTGTTTTATTTTTTATATTTTCTGTGATTATACCCATTTTATGGAACGAGTACAATGACTCGATTGTTTCTCAGAAATCATTTGAATCTATTGTAGATGGAGAAGCATACATTGCAAGAACTCGGAACAACGGAAATAAAGATGAGAGTACTGCTATCAACATTCAAGAAAATGATGAAAGGCTCAGTAGAGTGAAACGGATCATAAATAATGAGATGTCAGTTCTACAGGACGTCTCATCATTCGAATCGTCACCAAACCAGACCATCATCTCGCGAAAGAATCTCAGATTGTCTTCCAAGGAGAGTTCTAATGATGACTACCCCATCACCAGACCTATGCTGAAAAGAGTGGACAGGGTGAAGAAGGAAAAAACGGCATATACGCGAATGTTTCACAAAAACATTCCACAAGAAATATGAGGAATAAATAATGTTGTCAGTTTTATCGAATATTTTATATTCATATTGTATAATATTTTGATGAAAAAAATTATAACCTCTGACCCAGAAAACCCCTATGTACAAATTTTTGATAGAATTGATTCATCATTACAAAACCCGTCCGCCATATTGGATCCGCCATATCTGATTCACAGATTTTGAGGAAAGAATCATAATTTCTGACCACGAAAACTCCCATGCAGATAGTAATTTTGGAAAAAATCGGATTGTCAAAAATTCACATCATTATCGAGAAAACAGTGTTGAAGAATTCACATTCCTCTACCTCTTATGCGAAAGTACATAATAGAACACCAGAATCAAACAAACCATCAACCCACCTCACCAAAAAACTAACAAACTGGAAATCTGACAAAAAAATCAAAATTGTGATAAACAAATGACGCAACCTACCTCTTTTTATTCATTAGGGAATGAGACTACTATCACATAACTATCTTCTTAAATTAGTGCAAAGTTATTAGATATTAATCAATCAATCTTTATTTCAATCTTTGCTATAAACATTACATTGCATCTCATAAAAATATAAATATAATCATCAACATTTACAATGGAATAACATGAATAATCAGACAGATTCATATCTGGTATGAGATTATTCATGCGTTATCAAATTAAATTATAGTTATTGAAATAAACAACAGAATATGAAAAAAATGAATAAAACAAAAAGCTCATGAAAAGTACATTATGACATGATGAAATAAATTAGTCAATGAGAAATCATTCACTCAGGTTTGATTTTCTCTTTGCAAGAGGATATGTTTCTTGACTTTGATTTTAAAATGGGGGATATTTGTGCAACTTTTGATATCATCAGGTAATTTATTGAATTTTGAGATAGCTACGTGAGTGAACTTTTTTTGACCAAGTGTAGAATGAGCAGCATCAAGATGAAACAAGTCATATTGTCTAGTATGATGTTCATGAATTTGGGAATTCCTTACCAATATGAAGTTAGATTTGAGGTGTTTGTTGATAATATCAAGAGAAATTTTGAGAGTATTCATCAGATAGTGCTCTTCCAAAGAAAATGTATTTGTTTCTTCATAAAGTTGATTTGATGGGGTGTCATATCTTCCTAATAATTAATCTGCGATGGACCGCTCGCGGGGTAGAAAATACCCCAGACGATATCAAATCACGATTCTTTCGCTTAATTCGCACGGCACTGAAAAATCTCGCCAGCTCAGTTGCTGAATATGATCAACTAAGTCTTTGTGTAATATAGTTTTGTGCATGATCAACCAACTAGGTGTATTTCTGTGTTTTTCTCTGAAAATTTGGACCGCTTTGAGAAGGATGGATGGTTCTCATGACTTAATAATCAATATACCGGGTGGCTACGGAAGTATTGCCTACGGAACATCTCAGTTATTGTATGAAGTAGGTTTGTGAAATTTGGAGCGTCGATATAATGACATGAGAGCTAGAATTTGAGAATATTGACATGTCGAAGTTAACTTCCGGTCTGACCGGAAGTAACATCAACTTTCTTATTTTAAATGGAAACCCTATTTTTTTTCTTTTCGCTTTATTCAGCATTCAATTCCCTTTCTGATGACATATCACAAGTTGGTATCTAACCAGAAACTAGATCAGAAAAAAATTATTATTGAAATTCACCGAGTAGGCCGAGGAAGCAAAATGAAAGCCAAAAAATGACTTTCTATTATATCATTAGAAAGGAATGGCTATGCTGAATAGTACAGGCAAGAAAAAGTTGTATGTTCCTATTTAAGTTATGGACCTACAGAGTATTGTTTTTTTCTCAATTTTTCCAATATTTTTTTGGCGGCTTTTTATAACGCCGACGAATGAAAATAAAATATCACAGTAGTAGCAACTGTTATCAAGTGACGTATGGTTTCCATAGCCAACTTTTCGATTTTTGGCTTTCATTTTGCTTCCACGGCCTACTCGGTGAATTTCAATAATAATTTTTTTCTGATCTAGTTGCTGGTTAGATATCAACTTGTGATATGTCATTAGAAAGGGAATTGAATGCTGAATAAAGCGAAAAGAAAAAAAAATAGGGTTTCTATTTAAAATAAGAAAGTTGATGTTACTTCCGGTCAGACCGGAAGTTAACTTCGACATGTCAATATGCTCAAATTCTAGCTCTTATTTCATTATATCGACGCTCCAAATTTCACAAACCTACTTCATACAATAACTGAGATATTCCGTAGGCAATACTTCCGTAGCCACCCGGTATAAGGGTTGGAAATAATATTTGATACCTTGCCAGGAGATGGTATATCTACAGCATTAGTTATCAAAAACTGTCGACTAGCTGACACATCTTCTTTCTGCAGTGGAGCACTGTTTTTTCTACTGCTAATCTCTGGTAAGAAATTGTGTAGGTCTATGACTGAACTGCTTTTCCTTCTATTTTCGATTAAAGGAGATGATTTCCTGCTCAAAGAAGGCGTTGTTGGGCCAGGAAAATTCAATACAAATGATGGCGGACTTCTAGACCCTGACAGATCTTCCCTGTTTGTCGGTGTAGAAACTTTCAATATTTCATCGTCGTTCTGGGTATCTGTTGATAGGTTTTCTATCGTCAAACTATCCGGAGTGCTAGGCTGAAAAGAAACAAGATATCAGAAAGTTAAACTTAATTATTTATTCATTCTTTTATCCATCTCAATAAGAATATTGCACAAGTTACAATATACAGTGTCATTCATGAAGTCGGCATCATATGGGAAAAACTTTTATTCATGACTTATTTCGAAATTCGAGTTGGTCGTTAGGTTTTGCTTCAAAAAAGATGAAAAATGGCCTACTCAAACGGGGTCACGTGACTTTCGCTACATGTCAAAAGTGACATTTTTTCAAATTAATCGCTGAAAGTCGGCTTATTTGTTCGAATATCGAAAAAGTTTACTTGAAAAAGTTGTTTCTATTTGAATTTCACATATGTGACTCGGATTTTATCTTTCTATTACATTTTTTAGATTTCAATATTTTTTTAAAATTTTCGAAATTTCTGTAATATTGAAAAAATTGTTAATCCGATAAAACTACTTCATACCAGTAGTTTCATCATGCTACTAACTTTCAATTACTAATTATCACTGATTATCGACAAAAATATGTTTTTCTTCAGAAAATGATAATCTTCGCTTCAAAATTCTGTTATGTTTGATGCAAACATAACATCAAAATTCTGTTATGTTTGAATCGAGCATTTAGAAACGAAATTCATTATTTGAATTTATTTTTCCAGTACTGAAAAGATCAGTTTAAATGAATTTTGTTTCTAAATGCTTGACGATATATCAACTTTGCATCAAACATAACAGAATTTGGAAGCTGGTATTATCATTTTCTGAAGAAAATCATATTTCTGTCCATAATCAGTGATAATAAGTAATTGGAAGTGAGTAGCATGAAGAAGCTACTGGTATGAAGTAGTTTCGTGGAATTTACAATTCTCCAAATATTACAGAAATTTCGAAAAATTAAAAAAAAAATCAAAATCTAAAAGTTGCAATAGAAAGATCAAATTCGAGAAGCATGTGTAAAATTGAAATAGAAACAACTTTTTCAAGTGAACTTTTTCGATATTCGAACAAATAAGCCTACTTTCAGTGATTAATTTGAAAAAATGTCACTTTTAACATGTAACGAAAGTCACGTGACCCTGATTGAGTACGCCATTTTTCATCTTTTTTGAAGCAAAACTTAACGTCCAACTCGAATTCCAAAATAAGTCATTAATAAAAGTTTTTCCCATATGATGCCGACTTTATGAATGACACTGTATAAAACATAAACACTGTCGCGGCCTAATGATAACTATTATTAGGATTCAATATAACTTGAATGCAACCATCGTATTTTGAGGAACATCAAGAATAAAAAAATGAATTGAATACGGAATTCATGATATGGGACCTAAAATCTATCAAACATTTTGTTGGAAAGATTTAAACGGAGAATGGGGAAGAGGAAGGATGTCTGATTAATTTAATGAAATAAAGCAGAAATACTGTCACTTCTCTAATAACACCAAGCTATCCAATGGATGTCCATTGGATAGACATACATGGACATGCTGGATGAACATTGGATGGCTCAAAATGTCCAGCTTTGATTCAATTGACATCCATTGTAAATCCAGAGATCACAATTTTGATTGTCCATTGGATGTCCATCCTGTATATCCACTGTACATGAATTGTGCAACTACTGGACATGAATTATACATTTTATGTTTGAGTTTTGGACAATATAAATAAATATTATATATTATATAGGAAGGTAGATTATATTATATTATATATTTTGAATATATTTTCTCTTCTATAATTTTGTCTTTAGAGTCTTAAGTAAAGCTGGTTTAGCCCTGCTATGATACATTCATAGTACTCAGTTCTAACTTCTACAGCTCAAATGGTTGATTCATACAAAGTTGATTATTTGATCACTATTTCACTGCATTTGGCTAATTGAGAAATTTGAATCACTTTTGAATATTTCATATTATATAACGATGGACGATTTCTCTAAGAAATGATGAATGAGAGAACACATACACTTATCCTCGAATATTATGTGAACAAATTGAAAAAGTAATCAGTAGACATAACCTCAAATTGTCCTCGATTATTTTTTCATACATACATAATACGAAGCGACGGAATAAATGACGAACAGACAATAGAGAACACGAAACAAAGATGGCGATAGCATATACATTCTTTCAGTCCCTAGATACAATATGGATATCCATTGGAAAGCTGTCACTAGTTATCCATTAGATGATCATTTAGGTTTATCCAATGGATGTACAATTCATGATGTCCATGAATATCCGGAACATGTTTGGATATCCATTGAAATAGTGTCAGTGGTATTCCATTGGATAGGCATTTTTGTCCATGGACATCCGAACCTGTTTTAGACCTGAAATGGACATCTATTGGATGGCCTGTGTAATTAGGGTTGGTCAGCTTAAAAGATCGTGATATCTTGAGACACTTACTTGAACCACTCAAACTTTGAAGATGTCATATGGGGTGTATTATACATATTTTGTAATGAATCTTCTGAATTTTGAACTATCAATAATTTGTAATTTTTCCGCGATTGGAGTCAGCTGCAAGAAATGAATGGCTGGAATCAAGGGCTCTGGAGGCTTAAAAATTCGTCATACACCTGACAGCCTACTTTCAAGCGAGTTTCACCCCCTTCCATACAGTACAGTACACGCTAATTCACTATTCCCTATCAGTCAAAGGTGAAGGACGAAGTACTAATTTTTGGAGATCGATAAGACAATATCATGAGTAATGACTTGGTTTCACCCCACACCTGACACCATGTGATGATATGGTTTATTCTCAGATCTAACCTATCGCCCATGGAGTCTTTGGACCTCGTCATTTAAGAATTTCGAGTCGCATTTTTGAACCAGTCAAAGAAGGACAACAAAGTACTCGGCAGACCGAGAGCGGCTGTTGAGGCCTAGTGGGCCGAAATAGAACTGTCTCGCTTCTGCTGACAATTGGGGCAACTCTGTTCAACCTTGATCTCTTAGATATGAGATCTAGTTCAATGAATAGGCCTGATGGATCTTCCACTCAAGTAGTCGAGTAGTAGCCATCTGTCAGCAGAGTGGTTCACTTGTAGAAACACTTAGCAACGTTGTAGACGTACGGGTCTGCACGTGTTGACTATACATGGTCACGTTATACAGTGTATGCCGCGATTGAATAGTCCTATTTTAGAACTAACACCACTAGATGGCGATGATATAACGAGATCATCATGTATTAGCCTGCACCTTCGAGATGGGTGATATACTCAAATCGTTGAGTTGGTCCAGTTGCCATCAGATCTACATCGGCTGATGAGGCCTGGTACGCCGAAACAGTACTGTCTCGCTCCTGCTGACAATTGAGGCAACTCTTTTCATCCCAGATCGCTCAGTTATGAGATCTAGTTCAAAGTACTCACCTTCGAATATATCTGCGGAGTTTTCCTCGCCTCATCCACTTCATCCTCGCAGGAGTTTGCGTACCCCTGAGAGTTGTTGTTCGTGTCGCTCTCTGTCACTTCTTCCTTGTCAACTGAATCGAAGGTCGTTTCCTGGGAATGGAAGAGAATAGAACAGGTCTTTATCTTCAGGAATCAGAAATCAAAACCTATAGTAGGCGATCTAGTGCTATAGGAGGTAATACATCAAAATGAAAACCTAGTAGGCGACCTAGTGCTAGGAGGTAATAATATTGTCTGTTCAGTGAATCGAAATATGTCTGTCTGTCAAGTGGCGCTGGAGAAGACGAATAGTTATGTAATATACTATCTCCGTTGACCTTGTATTAACGACTAAGTTTAATTTTCATGAAATCGTTCATTAATGACCCCTATTAATGATCAATTTGTCTATTAATGCACGATTGTTTTATAGGCAACCAAACATACACCGCGTGCATCCATTGTTTGTGCTATAACTTACGAAATCTGCATTTTAATCGAAAATATGGATTTCATCGAAGATTTTCTGTTAACGGGTTCGCCTTTCCAAGTTTCTGAAACGATTTTAATCCCTGTTTTTTTTCACAAGGAATTTATTTTCTATGTCGATCATTTCGAAAAATGTCAAATGTCACTGATGTCAGTAACAAGGCTACTGGGTGATTCTTAGTAGTTTCCGAATGAATTATGAATTCGCGATCCAAGTTTTCTTCATTGCAGGAGAAATGAGAAATATAGTCGACGGAAAAATTTTGTAACTAACTCGTATATCAAAAGGCGATTAATGGTCTCGAACATTAACGCGCTCGCTTCGCTCGCACGTTAAAATATCTCGATCATTAATCGCCCTCATTAATACACTAGTTGTTTAAATAACTATTTCCGTCGACCTCGTATTAACGACTAAGTTTAATGTATATGAAATCGTTCATTAATGACTCCTATTAATGAACGATTTGTCTATTAATACACTATTGTTTTATAGGCAACCAAACATACACCGCGTGCATTCATTGTATATGCTATAACTTACGGAATCTGCATTTAAATCGAAAATATGGATTTCATCGACGATTTTCCGTTAACGGGTTCGCCTTTCCAAGTTTCTGACATGATATTAATCCCTGTTTTCTAACACAAGGAATTTATTTCCTATGTTGATCATTTCGACAAATGTCAAATGTGTCTAATGTCAGTAACAAGGCTATACTGGGTGATTCTTAGTAGTTTCCGGATGGATGATGATTTGGCGAACCAAGTTTTCTTCATTGCAGGAGAAATGAGAAATATAGTCGACGGAAAAATTTTGTAACCAACTTGTATATTAAAAGGCGATTGATGATCTCGAACATTACCGCACTCGCTTCGCTCGCACGTTAAAATATCTCGATCATTAATCGCCCTCATTAATACACTAGTTGGTTAAATAACTATTAATTTACCTCTCCATGATTCTGAGAGTCCTGAACATCTTCCAGTTTGACGAAGGCCTCTTCGTTGGTGCTGTAGGGGGGAGTGAAGTACCCGGAGGACTCTGAACCAGACGATGGGGGAAAGTGGAGGGTCTGAGTTTCGGCCGGTTTCCGGTCACGGGGTGACAGTCTGGTGATGATGGGATCGTCGCGAGGACTTTCTAGATTTCTGCAAAAAATAAGAGCATATATCTTTTGCACACTTTGCCAAATAATGTGAAACGGAACGGAAATAGTATATTACCTCAAGAACTCAACTAGTTAAAAACCGACAAGTTATTGGACAGTGGGGTAATTCATTGTGGCGTTCCTCAAGGATCGGTGCTTGGTCCAATCTTGTTTTTATTGTACTTCAATGACCTGACAAGCATATAACAACTGATGGACTATTCACAGTCTTTGCCGATGATACAAAAATATTATGGCATGATAACAACATAGAAAGCTTACACTCGAAAAGATATAGCAAAAAATAAAAGATGGTGTGATACTAACCTCCTCTCTTTCAACATTAAAGAAACAAACTTTATGTCATACAATTGTGCCCTACCCGATATTCCTCCAGGAAATTAACTGATAGTCAAGGTGAGTGTGAACAAATTTTTTGAAGTCTACATTAATGATAAATTGAAATGTTATCATTACTTGAAACAACTAGGAAATAAGGTTTGGAATTCTTTGCCAATGGACGTACCTATATTCCCAAGAACTTATAATCTCCAAAAGTCAAAAAAAATCTAACACCTATACCTCCTCTCCCTATCCTCCCTAGGTAGGCACGATGTTCCACGAACATTATTGGAATTCCCTTCCGTGCGCTCCGATGGATAAAAAATAAGTTGAAGATAACAGGAGAGTATATACACGTTAATAGCCATCTAGTCGATCTTGCAATTATTGTAGCTGCAGAATTCAACTTGCAAGTGAAGTGTAGTTGACTCCAATTGCAAGATAATAAGAATAATAATAAAAATAATAATGTTTATTCAAAATATAAAGAAGGTATACAATGATGAAGTCTACAAGATCATACATTGATAGAATCACATATACAAATGATACATAAAAAGAAGAAGAATGAATGATGGGAGTGATCAAGATAAAGTACCTACTTACAGGTAAAAAAAATCAGATGATTTTCAAATAAACAAAGATCCCACAGGAACACAGGGTTGTACGTGGGTATTTTCATTAATTTAAATCACATTATTTCATTCTGGTGGAGTGTGTATGAACAAAAATGCGAAAATTGCTGACTTTCAAGGTACAAAGAAAAAACAATTAATCTCATGGTACAAGGAGCATCAATATGATATTCTATAGGGACGCAATGGTCACTTATACAACTACATAATACCTATATATTTTACAATATCTTACTAACTTAATAACTAAAACAATTAATTGCATTTGAATTCAGCAGTTGACAAAAACTCATTCTCAAACAAAATTCTTCATGGTTACTATTCCATGAATAGTTAATCTATCTGCATTTAGAATATTATAGTCTTTCAATATTTTTTTTAGTTTATGGATATTAGTGTTATCCAATATATATTTTTTATTTTCATCAGGTAAAAGGTTATATATTCGTGATGACAAGTAATAGTGATTTCGTTGCCCTATATTTTTTCTTGAGGTTTCTGTTCTTGCAAGTGATTTGGTTTTTTGTCTTGTTTGATGAGAATGGTCTATTAATTGGATTAAATTTTTATTTCTGTATATATATAAAAGCAAGGATGTGAAAATAGAATAATTGCCTGATGTCTAATAGTTTCGTTTCAGCAAAGAGTGGTTCAGTTAGATAAGTACGATTTTTCTTGAAAATCATCTTCAGAAAATATTTTTGTAGAGTTATCATCCGTTTCAAGTAAACATTCAGTGCTCCACCACAAGCCAAAATTCCGTATTGTAATCGAGATTCCACCAATGCATAATATAATATTTTCATATAGTATAATATATCAAAGATAATAATTAAATATTTGAATATTGTCAGCTTATTCATAAGAAGTGAGTGGTACAAAGTCTGTTTTATCAAAATTTATGGTAAGTTTCATGTGACTGAACCAGTGAACTACATTTTGCATGTCACTCTCAAAATTCTTTTTCAAATCCTCCCAACTTTTACCTCTATAGAAAACTACCGTGTCATCGGCAAACTTGTGATTGATCTGTTGATTCAACAATCATATACAAAAATTATATATCATTTGTTAATCATTCAAAATCATTTCCGCAAGATAATTCTGTCCATTGAGCTCTTAGATTCCATCCAAAGACGAGTCATTCAGGTGGTTGGTGATGTCACACCCACTTATTCCTTCGATTAATACTTCCACGGAAAATGTCGGCTATCACTGCATCACTTGTCAGACGATCTCGACAAGAACAGGCAGCACATCCTTTTGTCGTCAACCTTGAGATATGTCGAACAACTCTTTATCAGAACTCGTTTGTCTATAGAACGGCAAAGCTTCGGAATTCTTTGCCAACAAAGTAATTCCCAAGACGTTATAACCTTCAAAAGTTAAAAAAAATTCAATAACTACCTCCTCTCTCTACAACCATCAGTATGTATAAGCAGAAATTATGAGACATCGCTGCAGAATATCTTCGATTCGATATAATTTGAAACAATGATATATCCGTGTCGAAATGCCCCCCTACCTAGTGATGATATACCACTCAATTTTAATATAAATTAAATGAAACGAGAAAATAATATATCTGCTGCTCGTAAACATATACGTTGTCATTACTCCTGCTGGTGATTGCCGTCGAATCAGATGTATATTCCAATTTCAATATTTTACATGAATGTCGAGGCGAGTTATGCCTTTATTTTCATTCGATAATAAAGCGATAGAGCCCATACGGGTTGATGGATAAGCGTTTCAGGTGCGAACTGTTCACTTTAATTTTTCTTGTTAGAGTTCCTCGATGATTGTCCAATAGTTTCATACTTATTTTTTTCTACAAGCGTGCGTGATTCACCCTATATCCGCACGCAATTTAGTTTGGGAAGTGTCATTTTCCCGCAACATTGCGGGGAAAAACAAAGATATGATAATATGGCAAAATATAAGATGATAGGTGATGGGATATGAGCTAGAGTTTGAGTTTCTTTGTTGCAGTATTAAGTATGTATGTTCAGAATCATCCATCAAATTGCACTATTTATTGTGAAAATTAGGAAATATTGAAAAATAAAAATTGATTATTATAAAAATCCCTCTATAGATTTGGATTGATCTGATGGGAAACGATTATTGTTGTCATGCCAATCAAACCTCAGATGAGTTTGTAATTGTCGAAGTGACAGACACAGCGTTACTGCCAGTCAATATTCAAAAAATATAAAATCTTGCCAATACCTTGTGTTTTTATATACCAAACTTTACTGGAAACATTTTCCAATATAGCGCTGTTTCTCGAAAAACGCTGATGTCCATAACCACGCCACGAGATCATCAAGTAAACTCAGAACTCCTAAATTCAGACTATCTGTCACTGAGCGAAATTCTCTAAATGTCAGTTTTTTAATGTCTTACCACCAGCTGTGAAATCTTTAAATTTCATCCAATTCAAGAAATGGGTAAAAAATCATTTATATACTATCACACGCTTTCTATTCAATTGAGGAATTTCTTTCATTTAACCATGAATAATATGATGCTCACCCCAACTTCATAAACATATCTATGAAAATAAGTAGTTATAACTCAATCCTCTTCAGGGCATTGTTCTTGAGTATTTTGCGTATATGACGGTATATGTGAAACTTTTGAATCACGTACATACATGTATATGTCACCATTACAGCTCACAATATGTGTGTCATTTCAATCTGTTTTGTTCTTCAATGTCTGTTTTCTTCAATGTCCGTTTTTAAACTGTAATTTATTAACATGTATACTTGAGTGTTTTTACTATAATAATAAAATCTATTGTACCTTGACTTGCTACAAACATGTAATTCATGTAAAGTGGTTAAATAAAACTATCTATTTATCTATCTATCTATCTACTGTCATTTTCGATTCAGTGGAATTGCCACAATGTGACCAAGACCTTCCAGCTATAGGAATGCGATACAGATGCGTTATTTCCAACGAAGTCTTAAGAAAGGTATCAGAAGCTATACATGCTTGATATTGAATGGTGCATCAATAAAGAAATAAAAAGTCCGAATTTTGGCTCATTTCCTAGAAGTGTCTGAAACCTAGAGACCAAACACCTTATGGGCCTGCTGGCTTATGCAATGAACCTATACATAATACGTCAAACTGTAAGTTCACAATAACTATCACCAATAATCAGTAGATATAGAGAATATAAAAATATATTTCTCTCGCTTCGCGTCGTTCGTGTCAACGGCAGTCGCGTGCGGGAAAGAATCACTTTCCGCACTTGTTAGGAAAATTACTATTCCACTTATAAATGTATACAGAACACAGAATTATGTTTGCTATATGTTTGACCTGAAAAATCGGCTACTGGTCAATAATGAAATTCACAAGGAAGATACACGACTATTCTAAGAACCAATGAGATATGTTTAATATCATAAATTTAACAAAGTAACAGTCATTTGTAATGCCAATTTGATTCATGAGTAAAAACCATTGTGATTTAGTCATTAGGACAGCGAAAAAAATTTGCCAGCGACAAAACGGATTCCAACATTCGGAATATGACGTTAATTTTTCTCATTCTTGCATTGTCAGAAAAGTATAAAATCTGTGGAAATGTCGCAATTTGAAGAATACTCGAGTAGAGATTTTATTGAAAAAACCAATAAAAATAATGTGATATGTTCATTAAATTGTATTATCAAATTGCACTAGAGCTTCTTGTTGATTCGAGTTTTGTTGCGGTGAAGAAATTTACCAAAAAAAAATTAACCAAAAAAATTACTCATCCTATACGGAATAATCTTTTCGAAGGAAATTTCTTTATTTACTTGATTATCTGGGATTTTCTCTCCTCGTTTCTATACAGAACAAAAGTATGAGTATTATTCCAATAAATGTGTAGTATAGGGCAAATCAGATGATTTGCCCCAAAATGTCCCTGCGTTTAACAAATATTTCTATTATATAGGAAGCCTAGAAGAAAAATCCAATAGCTTGTGAGTGACACTTTGTTTGGAAAAAGATTTGAAGA